GGCTCATTGGTGATTTAGTATAAGTATTGCCATCTATGTGTAAAAACAATCAAACAAGTACTCAGTGTGCATAGCACGTACGTAACTGTCATACCCATCGGCATTGGGTTAACCCAGTGCCGATGGGTATTGGAAATCCGTGAGCGTCATAAACTCTGGTGATTTCTGGCAATATCCAGACACTGGACGTGGGAGTCCGCTATGAGTAGCAGAACTTCCTGCTCCACAAACTATGGCGTTTTGCTGCATGTAAAGTAGTACCCCGCGGACCAAGCAGTATGTTATGGCTCTTGTACACATGACCCGTCCATAAAGGGTTAAGATACAACATGGGGAATGGTTATGGAATCTTTTAGTCAAATGATTGTATGGTAATAATGAACTCATTGCCCTGTCAAGTTCAGTTGGTAAATAATAATTTCTAGTGAGCTTGTTCTAGTCAAAGATACCCAACACCCTGTATTTGGTCAGCAGCTGGCCTCGAGAAATAGGGTTTGTAAACTACATGACAATTATTCAGAACTTAGTCTAAGAGGGTATTAAAAAATAAATAAATAAATAAATTTTTACATGTTTATTTTATACTAGAAAATACTTTTAAAATGCAGGATTTACATATTGTTGTAAAATTTCTTTGGCAAAATGTTCATATAACCTCTCTCTTTTTCCCTCAGTTCTCCTGTCCATTTGTTCACTTCTCACGGACCCGAATCCAGATGATCCGTTGGTGCCAGAGATTGCACGAATCTACAAGACAGATAGGGAAAAGTACAATGAATTGGCAAGAGAATGGACAAGGAAGTATGCTATGTGATCCCCTGGTGGCAGAGTGGCAGAGAGCGTCAACGCCCAGCCCCCGCCACTGCCATACGCAACACCTTAAACCACCCTGACCATCGCTGCCATCACAGTGACTGCTGCTGCTGATCCTTCTATCCTATGTCATCCTGCTGCAATTTAATTTTATTTTTTGGTTCATTATTTTTATTTTTATTTACTTCCACCCATCACTACTCAAATGGCTGGTGGATCAGTAAAAGAAATATAAAAGTAAATATTGCCTCGATGATTCATCACTGCACTACCAGCATCCATCACCACCACCTTTTGACCAGCAGCTTGTAATTTGGCACAGATCAGGTGGCTCAGAAGTCAGGGCTTGGAGAATACTAGCCCCCTCCCCCCCAAGTGAAGTGCCACTGCCACCAGCAGGTCTGATTTGTACCTAGATTTGTTGTGTACACAGAAATATGCCTCATCCACTGTTGGAAAATGATCACGCTTGCGTTCTGTAGTTGTAATTGTGGGTATTTCTTGGGTCATTTTGCTAGTATGTGGCCAGTTGACTCTAATAATTGTTGGGGGAGAAGAGAAACAAAAAACAAAAACAAAATAAAAAAAACAGGGACTGGAGCCCTTTGAACCAATATATTTACCAGTGCAACATTTCATCTTTTATTTTCACACCCACTGTAACACCTCTAAATTATGATATTCTTGTATGTGTCCTAAGCCACACCCTGCTTTGTTCATTGCAAAAATGGGAAACTTCTTATGTGACTAGTTCTGGGTTCCTATATAATTATCATTATTATCATTATTATTATTTTCTTTTTTAAAAATTCAGTTACTTCGAATTTCAATTTTTCCTTTCTGTAATATATCTTAATCACTTCCACCTAACTGTGTAGTCATTCCCTCCTAATCCCACCAATTTCCAGCCTGTGTGAGTTTTCCTAACATACAAGAAAGGGGAGTAGGCGGTCCGTAACACACAACCTCAAAAACCATCAATACTAGGCTATTGTTTAACATATAACTTGCCATGTCTCATTTTCTCTTTATTTTATGATTAAAAATTGTATTCCCTATCCCTGTGATTTTTTCGTTTTAGAATAATAGGTTCATTATTATTACTATCATGAAATATTTTTATTTTATTTTTGTTTTTATTTTTTTTTCTGCAGAATTATTGTAGTAACAAAATGAAATTTTGAATTTTTTCTGCCTTTTTGTATTACCTTCACATATTTTGTTTATATTATTATTATTGTTATGCTTAAGGATTTTAATTCTTTAACTCTACTATAACTACTGTTATCATGGTCATTGTCTTTGTTTTTTATTATTTGTTTTTACATTATTATTATTATTATTATTATTAATTTTTAAGCTGTGTAGGTCCAATACCGTCTCGTTGAACATCCTTGGGCTCTTCTGTGACTCACTAGTCATCCCTGCAACAAATAATATTGGAATCGCTATCATAAGGGCGACCATGTCATGAGACGCCCATAGGTAAGAGTTTTCATCCTCATCACCGAAGAGCCTGGTAGTCATTGGGACAAATATCAGCTTTTTGCCTGCCTCTCATGAGACTAGGAGGAATTTCATTTTTTAAAAAGTTTTTGATTTATAATTTTTCTGGCAGAAAACATGGGAAGCAGGTATATTTAAATACATGGCTGTTTGGTTAATTTAATACAGTATTCAAAGTAAATCTTTTCAATACAATTTTGTCAAATAAAGGTGTACAGAACACAAGCATTGTTTTTCTGAAACCTGTGTATTATATCATATATTTATTAGATATATAATTTTTTTATCTGCTTGGAATTGTTTTGTGAAAAAGGTGGAGGTAATTGCACCATTGAAGAAAGATTAATATTGATTACATGCTGGGATTGTGTATTCAGTTTTTCCAGTTGTTTGGTTTGACAGTATGGTAATTCCTGAGTTCTTGTGGTACATGTAGCAGAATGATGAGGCTTGTATAACATGCAAAAGATTTTTTTGTTAAATCTATTTATCTTATTCACTTTACTCTAGAGGGTAACGTCAAAACTTTCAGAAACCTCGGTTTTAGAAATGTATCTTTGCTTTAGAGTGGTCTGTTTCATTTAACCCCTTGATGTCAGGAGAGCATGTATTTATGGTGTCCACTGTAATTTTATCTTTATTTGTTTACCCATACATGGCTCCACAAGTGCTTTGTTACCAAGAGTTGGTTATTTGGCATGTCAGATGTCAGTGTTTTACTTTATTCTTTGAATTTTTGTATTTTTATTTTATTTACTATTAACTATATAATAATGCCAATACTATTATTAACCCACTGCCGATGGGGAAAATGAATTAAAAAATGGGGAAAATGCCATTTTTGTGTGTGTGTGTGCACGTGTGTGTGTGTGTGTGCACGTGTGTGTGTGTGTGTGCACGTGTGTGTGTGTGTGTGTGTGTGTGTGTGTGTGCACGTGTGTGTGTGTGTGTGCGTGTGCACGTGTGTGTGTGTGCGTGTGCACGTGTACGTGTGTGTGTGTGTGCGTGTGCACGTGTGTGTGCGTGTGCGTGTGCACGTGTGTGTGTGTGTGCGTGTGCACGTGTGTGTGTGTGCGTGTGCACGTGTGTGTGTGTGCGTGTGCACGTGTGTGTGTGTGCGCGTGTGCACGTGTGTGTGTGCGCGTGTGCACGTGTGTGTGTGTGTGTGTGCGCGTGCGTGCGTGCGTGCATGAAATGTCTACACATAGATGGCTCTGCCTTACCTAATTTCACCTTTCCTTGAATTGGTGGGAAAATGTATTTTTACTAATGCTATGAATATCGTTGTTATTTTTATTATAAACATTATAATTACGATACTATAATGTTATAAACATTAGAAATAGCAAAATATGATAATGGAAAATATTTTCGAAAATTAAAGAAAAGGGTAAACGGGCAAGACAGGCAGTACTCGTAATTGGCTCATTGGTGGTTTAGGACAAGTGTAGCCATATATGTGTAAAAACAATCAAATAAATAAACACTCAGTGGGCATGGCATGGCATGCCTGTCGGCAATGAGTTAATAATGATAATATTCAAAATGAATATTAAAATTGGTGAATAGATGAACCCAAGTTAGCCTATTAATGGACTCCTTTGAGACAGAGCTTGTGAAGCCATCTATGTGTAGACAAAAGTGACAAAAAAAAAAAAAAAAAAAAAAAAATTAGTGGCCAGTTTACTCAACTGGAACTTGCTTGGTTTACCTTTTGACAGGCACTGTCTATTGTGGTCATGAGGTCTAAAGGCCAGTCCACATGGCCAGGAATGATAGGTGTGCACAACCGTAGATACCTGTAAAGGTGACACCATGGGTGAGGAAACAAGTACTACTTTACCCAGTAGTTTATTGACCTGTGACATCTTTACTGGTGCATGTCCTTGTGCCTGCCAATCCTGCCCACTGATGTGGAGAGGCCTTTAGTAATGGTAACATTACTGCTACTACTACACTTTCCATTGGTGTTTGGCTTTGTTAAAAAGATAATATTTATGTATTACCTTTATGCTTTTCGTTTAGCAAATTTTCTTTGATTTTTTTTTTTTTTTATGAACATTAATATTTTACTATTTATAGCTTTTCTTATCACTAATATTGTCACTCCTATAAAAATCACATATTCCTTAAAATGCCTTCATCTGCCTTTCACAAAAGATACCAGTACAAGTTAGGTTCACGCTACCACTTTGTCATATGATGTCTTGTCAAATGCTTTGGGATTCATAGAGCAAGGAGACTTTTCCCCAAATTTAAATACCAGGATAATGATAAAGTAAATGATAAACTAGTTTCTCAATTGAAATTACTGTTTTATGTTTAGCCTTGCATATCTTGTGATAATCATGCTTATAAAGTACTTTTGATGTGTTTTGAACTTCTAATTTGTAATTCAGCAATTTTTAATATGTATTTAATCTTTGTGATCTCATAATTTATGATTTCTTTTAGAGATGGGTGGGAGGGGGTGTAAAGGAAATAAAATGTATTTTCCATTGGATTTTAAGGTCTCTCAGTTGTTGAAATTAGCCACCTATCCAAATCTGTTACTGGAGATACAACTTGTAGATGGTAGCACTTGTGGAGTCAGGTTATGTCTGACTTAGGTTTCACAACTGTGCTGGTTCCACTTCTATTATTATTCACAGAGTTACAGAAGTTAAATGAAAGTTTATACACATATTTTTGCTTTTATTATATCCAACTTACAGTTAAAATCTTGACATGAAAAATATTCATTTTCTAATTACATCATGCAATGAACAGAATATACATATTGGGCTTCTATTTGCTTTCTCCCTTTGCATCTCTTGCATAGCTACGACTAATAAAGCAACACAATAACAAAGATAAATAAAATGATTTTCGATAAATCCAGTCATTTACTCAATAGTTACAATTTTTTTTTTTTCCCAATATCTGAACCATAAGGGAAAGAAACAAAAACCTTGTTTCTATAATATACAGGAAAGAAAGAAAAAAAGCTTTCTATAATAATTGTAAAAAAACAAACAAACCCGTATGTAATTCTTCCCACTTCACTTGGTCCATGATACTTTGGGAATATCAAAGTGTTCAGTAAGAGAATCCAAATGTCTGTTGAATTCTTCAACTTTTTCCTTATGTGTCAAGCTAGCTTTCTTCAGGATACGTTCAGCTTC